CCCCCCCCGCCCAGTGACCAAAGACTTGAGCACTCAAAAAGTCCAGCTCCCCATAGTATTCGACATGGACACTGGTGTGATTGAAGGTGGATTAAATGTCACTCTCACCATCTGGCTACTTATGCATGGGAAGGAGGTTGGCAATATCATTGGAAAGAAAGGAGAATCAGTTAAGATGATGCATGAGGAGAGTGGTGCACGTATCAACATCTCATAAGGGAACTGTCCTGAGTGAATTATCACTTTGGCCGGACCCACTAATGCCATCTTCAAAGCCTTTGCTATGATCATTGACAAACTGGAAGAGGACATCAGCAGCTCTATGACCAATAGCACAGCTGCCAGTAGACCCCTGGTCTCTCTGAGGCTGGTGGTCCCTGCTAGGCAGTGTGGCTTTCTCATTGGGAAAGGTGGTTGCAAGATCAAGGAAATACAAGAGAGTACAGGGACTCAGGTCCAAGTGGTAGGAGATATGCTCCCCAATTCAACTGTGCGGGCCATCACTACTGCTGGCATCCTGCAATCCATCATTGAGTGTGTCAAACAGATCTGCGTGGTCATGTTGGAGTCCCCCCGAAGGGCGTGACCATCCCGTACCGGCCCAAGCCATCAAGTTCTCCAGTCATCTTTGCAGGTGGTCAGGCCTATACCATTCAAGGACAGTATGCCATTCCACAGCCAGATTTGACCAAGCTGCACCAGTTGGCAATGCAACAGTCTCATTTTCCCATGATGCATGGCAACACCGGATTCAGTGCAGGTTTGGATGCATCTGCTCAGACTACTTCTCATGAACTCACCATTCCAAACGATTTGATTGGCTGCATAACTGGCCGTCAAGGCACCAAAATCAATGAGATCCGTCAGATGTCTTGGGCGCAGATCAAAATTGCAAACCCAGTGGAAGGATCTACTGATAGGCAGGTTACCATCACTGGATCTGCTGCCAGCATTAGCCTGGCTCAATATCTAATCAATGTCAGGCTTTCCTCGGAGACGGGTGGCATGGGGAGCAGCTAGAACAATGCAGATTCATCCATAACCCTTTCTGCTCTTCACCACCACCCATGATCCATCTGTGTAGTTTCTGAACAGTCAGCGATTCCAGGTTTTAAATAGTTTGCAAATTTTCAGTTTCTACACACTTTATCATTCACTTGTGATGTTTTATTTAAGTGTTTTAATTCCTTTCTCTGTTCAGCTGTTTATGATGAGATCCATATTTAGTTTTTTAAGCTTCTTCCTGTTTTTGTTGTTGTTGTTGTTTTGGTTTTTTTTTGGTGGAACCGG